TGTGTGTACTCTTACCATTTTGCACACAAGGTTATTGGGGAGCGATAGGTTTTTCCATTCTCCCCTTCTCCTACATGGATTCCAGGAACTTAATTCTTTAGCATAAAAACAGATGATTGGACATACATAATCGGCTCTGGCTTAGGCCATGGTTAGTTCCTTTTAAAGTCAAATTTTTAAGATGCTATCTTCAAACATGCATAATAAATCATAACCAGTGTGAATTAACTGAAAGGGAGGTAGTCAGTTCTTTTATGAAAAAATAAAAATTTAGCAATAAAAAATAAATGAAGAGCATGTGCTTCTGAGTCAGACTGAGTTGAGATCATTGAGCTACAGCTGGCAGCTCTGGGTTTGGGCAAGTTCCCAAACCTCTCTATACCTCAGTTTCTTCTCTAGGTGGGGATAACAATGGTATGCCCCTCTTAGGTTTTTATGAGGATTGAATGAGGTAATACCTATAAATGCTTTAAAAGTGCTTCCACAGTCATTATCTGTAATTGTTCTGTTCATTCATTCATTCGTTTGTTTGTTTTCTTTCAATACATACTTATTGAGTGCCTTTTTTAAGCCAAGTATAAGTGCAAGGATATAGCAATGAATAAAATGTGTTAAGGATTAAGTTTATTATTGTTATTTCAAGTCATTATGGGATGTATCATAAAGCACTTTAGTACATGATGGATATTTGGCTTTCTCATCCTTGGTGGCTTAATATAGAACCTAGCACAAAATAGCTGCTTAATAAATGTCGGTGGAATGACGTTTGAACACATATTGCAATGTAGGATAAGAAGCACTGGATTTGGAATTGGGAGATGCAACGTCAAGTCCCACTTTCTCCCCTAGAGCACGATGTGACCCTGACAAATTTACTGAAATTTCCTATCTAAAAACCAAGAAAACTATACGATAGCTTCTGACTATGTTCTAAGATCCCTTCTGACTATGATTCTACAAAGTAGCTAAAACGATGCACTATTTGTTGACTGGTTATAATTCTATTTTTTTAGTGTAATAAGCTTTTTTTTTTTTAATAAATTGGTAGGATATTTTTTTTTTTTTTTTTTTAAAGATTTTTATTGGGAAATTGGGGGGATGGGAACAGTGCTGGGGAATTGGGGAAAGGGGAACAGACAAGTTGCTGTCGTTTTGTTCTTCAGTCTAGTTGTGGAGGACGTTGCTTCACTGGCCCAAGTTGGCACCATCATTGCGCTCTTCTCTGGCGAGGCAGATCAGTCGCCGGCCTCTGGACAGCCGCTCACTGCGGCTGCTGGCCGCTCACGCTGCAAGCTTTTAATTTTAGAATAGATTTGCAGAAAAGTTGCAAGAACATTACAGAGGGTTCCTGTATACCCTGCACCTAGTTTCCTTTATTATCAACATGTCGCATTCCTAAGGTACATTGTCATTTGTCAAAACTATTGAGCCAATATTGATACATTATTATTAACTAAAGTCTGTACTTTATTCAGATTTCTTAGTTTTTATGTAATGTTCCCCCTCCCCCCCCTTTTTTTTTCTTTTTTCTTTTTTTGCCCCAGGATCCCAACCAGAATACATTATATGTAGTAAATGTCAATTTAAACTCTTCTGGACCATGACAGTTTCTCAGACTTCCTTGTTTTGTTGACCTTGACAGTTTTGAGGACTATTGGTCAGGAATTTTGTAGAATGTCTATAAATTTAGAGTTTTTTTTGTTTGTTTGTTTGTTTTTTGCTTTTCTCACGGTAATAAAGGAGTTATGAGTTTGGGGGAGGAAGATCATAGAGGTGATTCTCATCCCATCATATTGAGTATATGCTTTTATCATGATCACTGATTTGGGTTTCTGTTTTAATGAGTGAATAAGAGTTATATGTAATTGTAATTTAGTATATCATATTAAGGAAAATCTCTTTGCTATATGTCATTTTCTATTCAATTCATAAAATAGTTGGTTCTCTTTGAATACGGCTTAATCTTAAAATATATTTACCTTATTTATTTATTTTTTTAATTTTAAAAAGTCCCCTTTACTACTTATAAATGAAATGTAAGTGAAAAATCCATGTCTGGTTACAAATTGATAGTAACCTTACCTTTATGGACTCAAGATCTATGTATTAAATTTAAGATGAAAAATATAACTGTATTACTTTCAGGTTTACTGCCAATGATAATAACAGATCTGTGCTCAGCTATGTAGTCTAAAGGATGCAACAAAGTAGAAGCATCAGAAGTTAAGCCTTTGGATACTAATTCCCCTAAGCCTGTCTCATGCAAGGGACTTGCCTTAAGAAATGTTAATGCTTCACTAAGCCCTAGGCATAGAGAATCTGGTATCTCTAATCTTGTGGCATCTTTAGTATAAATATACATTATCCTCTGGCATTAGGAAAGACGCTAATGCAGCTGTCACCGGGATTGGAAGATTCATGGTTTTCTTTATTCTATACTTTTGTTATGAATTTCACTATACATAGGGAAGTCGGTTTAGGATTGCTGTGCACCGTTTTCAAATCAAGACAAAATAAACATGGCCAACCCAGAGGAGGATTTGTTAGGAGGGTAGAACTAGGACTATCTTTACTTAGATTTCAATATAATAATACCCATAGTAGCACATTCTAGCTCCAGCATGTGGCCACGCTAAGTTCAAATATCTGTATTTACAGTTGTCACTCCACATAGAGCTGATCGTAAGAAAAAATGAATTGTTTTGGCCCACTGGTGTTGGTGACCTGACTGTGGAGAGTCACTATCATGACCAATGGTATCATTCACATTTTGCTTTTCAAAATCCCTGATTTCTTCCGTCCATGGAGCACTTTCCCCTCGCATACCATATAGTACTTGTGCAGCCTTGGGAAATTTCCTTAACTTCTTGGATTTCCTCATTTGCACAAGTTTGTGTGACGGTTAAATGAAATTATGTATATAAAACGCTTAGCAAATTAGTCATTTGTTATTTATTCACATACGTATGCTTTCAATCATTTCTGGCTTGTTAGTAGGAATGAACAGCCACCACACTATCTTCAAGTAGTCATTGTGTTTTATGCCATATCTAGGTTCTCAGAAATATTTTCTGGCTATTACTCGATATTTCAATTTTAATCAGGCACCTTATTAGGCAAGTAAAAACTAATCAGGAAATAGACCCCTCAGTGTTCAAAAGGATTAATGAGTTCTGATGGAAAAATTGGTATTACAGTAATTTTATTTATTTTCCTCTAGCCAGGAGAGACTGATTTTTTTTTTTCTTCTTTAACATGGTTGGCAGATCATTTCCATGACACTCAAGGAGGCTTACTTGATGATCTTAGCAGCTAAAAGAAGTGATTAAAAGTGTGTGAAGTGTCAGGCAAAGGAAATAAGATCCAGATGAATTGTTTTATATAACAGCTCTCAACACAGACCTCATTTCTCTTCTTATTGACTAGTGTTTCTGACGCCATATTTGGGAAAGAAGCCATAATCAATCTCACCTGTATTTCCACCTCTATATCAGGATCAAAGGGGATATCCAAGTTAAAAGGCATCCTGTAACTGTAATCAACTCTTGAGAGTATGAGCTTTACAAGAAGTGAACGTTTATGAGGACAACATTTCATTGCAGGCAGACTACTGTCCTTCATCGTCACCACCCAATCCATTTATCATGGACTTTTCAGTGTGGCATTAGGTAGTGACAACAGCAGCATGTGGAATGAGAAACACTTGCAAGAGCAGCTGTAGCTGGACAGACAGCATGGGAATATGGTGAATAGGAGATTAAGAACCAGCCAGTCAGGAGGCAGAATACATAGCATAAGAGTAGAAAGGATATGAGTATAGAGCTCATTTACAGTTTGTTGTTGGATATGCAAACATTATTAACAAACATCATGGTAATTGGCATATTTGAAATGAGAGCTATGTACTCATATACCCAAGTGAAGTTAGGACAAGGTAGTTTCACTTAGAGGTTGACCTCTCCAGATTTAGATCAGACTTTGGAGCCAGAGGGTTGTAAGGTTATAATGTATCAACATTTTCATGGTCATCGAACTCTTGAAACCATTTGACATTAACAGTCTGTGAATTCCTTGTAAAGAGTGGCCATTGATATTTGAATACTATGTCACAAACTCCCAGAACACAGTCTGGTACAAAACATGCATTTAATAGATATGCCATACTAGAATTACTTTTATTTGTATATTGATGATTTTTGTACCTGGTATTGAATATACAACTCTTTGTAAATAGGGCCATGATTGTCTTAATTATTGAAATGGACAAAGCAATATATCATCAGGGTTCCATTTTTTTTTTCTTTTGCACAAGAATGTACAACAAAATTAGTTTTTTTTAATTAAAGAAATGTGAAAGGAAAACAGAAAGAGTAGTAAATAAAAATATCTTTAAAGTATTTATCCTCTAATTAATTATTTTAAAAGCCATCTGTGTAGAACTATATGTATACATCGTATAATACAACGTAAAGATTATTTTACTAAGGCCATATGTTAACAAGAGAAAGTTTTGGGTATATTTATTTATCTCATAGAAAAAAATGTAAAGTGTATTTGTATATTTTCAAGAATCGTCTGAGTGTTTTATATCAGTACACGAAACTACATGTGCTCATCTATACAAAGTTCTTCATGAGGTAATTCACTCACAGTTGACAAGCAGCAATTGCTAGCTGCTCTTATCACTATTAGCAAAATGTATTATTAGTGAGATGGCTGCTTAGCTCAGTTAGTTAGAACGCATTGCTCATAACACCAAGGTCGTGGGTTTGATCCCCACATGGGCTAATGAGCTGCGTGCACCCTCCACAACTACAATAGATTGAAACAACTACTTGACTTGGAACTGATGGGTCCTGGAAAAATACACTGTTCCCCAATAAAAAATAAATAAGATTGGCTTATTAAAAAAAAAAAGTGTTATTAGTGATACATGTCCAAACAGGTAAAGGTAACACCACTGTTTGTCCCTCTTTTTTTCTACGCTATTTTGAACGCAGACAGTACCACAGGGACACCAGCAATATCAACGACCACTGTGGAAATTCGCAAAAGCAGTGTTATGACAACTGAGATCACCTCTAAAGTGGACAAAAGCCCCACAACAACGACAGCCACTGGCAATAGCTCGAGTCCTCCTACGGAGACTGAGGAAGAAAAGGCAAAACGGCTTCTTTACTGTTCGCTATGCAAGGTTGCTGTCAACTCCGCCTCACAGCTGGAGGCACACAACAGTGGTGAGATGCAGCAAATTCTTTTCTGTCTCAACAGCTCTACAATTATCTGTCTCTGAATAGATTAGATCTTTTGCATCAGGGGACAAAGAGGTGGCAGAAAACTGGCAATTATTACATGAAATCCATTAACTATTCAAAAATAAAAATGACATGCAAAGTGTCATTTACATGGGGTCAAGAGAGGGTTTCCAGGGCGCCTGTGCTGTGTTGTGTATGTGTTTGTATGTATGGATGTGTGTGTGTGTATGTGCATGTGTGTGTGTGTGTGTGCACACGTGCGTGCATGCATTGATGTGCCATTAAATATTAGAAAATAAAGTAAAATATAATTCTAACATATAAACTTTGCATTTATTTATTTCTAGGTTGATAAGTACTTCCATGCATTTGCTTCTAAATGAAGTTTTCTAAAGTTATACCAATAATATAGTTGCAAAATTTGGTTGCATAACTCCATGTACTTTTGGTTAAAACCCTCAGTTTTTATGGAAACTGATATTATTTGGGGTAGATCTACATGACCTAGACAATTAAACTTAAGAAAGTGCTTGTTATGGGCAGCCGTTGAGGCATGATTTTTACATGTAATAATTTATTGACTCTTTCTGACAACCTAAAGATACTATCCCTCTTATTTAATTGAGGCTCAGAGAAGGCACGTGATAACTTAAGTGACTGAGCCATAATTCAAACCCAGATCTCGCTAACACAAACACTAAACTTTAATATAGCAAAACAGAAAATACTGATAAGCCAGAATGAAATACTTTCCTAATATATTTTAAGTTCATCCACCTGTTTGATGTCAAGATGTTACATATATCTAGATCTGTACTTACCTATCCATCCATCTCTCTCTCTGTATATCTATATATAGAGATAATATTGTGTTTATTTTGTTTTGTTTGTTTGTTTATGCCCTGCCTGAGATTTTAGCCAGCCCTTTGGCCCAAGATCAGCTATTCTCTAAAAGACTGGGCTCTTGCCAGGACTCTGTCAGCAGTCACAATAGTGAAAGAATCATTTGTGAATCATACCCTAAGTGAACATTACAGCTGTATGCTGACTGAGTCATTGACCAATCATTGTGCTGCACTAGTAATAGTCAAGTATTGACTTCAAGACTCTAAGGGAGTAATTGCAGAAGGAGAACAATCCTTGCAGCACATACCTTCCTCCTGCATACAACAGTATTTGTACTCAGGGAGAGGTTATGAGTTCAGGGGCTGAGAAACACAGACAGGCATCTGGCCCCAAGTCAGAATCTATACCATGCACATTAGCCTTGTGTTTACTCATAAATACATTCTTCCCGTATGCACAATAATTGGGAGAGCATAAATATCACTGAAAGTCCATTTATTTCTCAAGAATTCTTGATCCTTTTGCATAGTGACTGAGAAACAGGTTCATGGAGGCGGGGCACAGACCATACCCTTTGAGGTTAGAGTTAATTATTAAGAATTTGGATATCCTTCCTGAATCTTTATCAGAAACGTCTAATTAAGAAGCAATGTGAAATCACTTATTTAATTATATCACATCAGGTCGACATGTTTTATATTAGAAGCCTGTGGTCTTCATCTCTGCTTTGTGTGTGTCAGAATTACCTGTGGAGCTTTAAAAAATATATTCACCCATGGCACTTTAAAAAATATATGTTCATATATTTTATATGAATATAAAATATGTTTATATATTATATAAGTATATATATATTTATTTAAATATATTTTAAATATAAATGTATGTTTGTATATAAAAATATATATTTCCTATATCCAGGGATTCTGATTTATTATATATCCAGGACCTGGGATGCTACAGTGTTTGGGACCATTAAAAAAAAAACTTACAAACATTGTAGAGTCAGAGCTGAAAACTACTATAACCATTTCGTCTGATGGTTTGGTGGTAAATGTGGTTGTCACCCTTACTGACTTGAGTCGCTTTATAGGGGTGTCCCTTTCAATCCCTCAGTTAGTCAGGGGACTGCAGCCACTCTCCTTCCCTCAAAGCTGCTGCGCGGGTTTCCCTATCCCTGTATTTTCCTTCCTATGTCAGAGATCTTTTTCCAGGGTCGAGCGCAAAGCTCATTTTAGGCCTCACCCTAGACTTGCATGAGCCAATTGTGCCAGAACTGGAGATGGCAAAGGAGGAAGAAAAGATGCACAAGTAGGTGCTCCTGGACCCCACTCCGTGCGCCATTTTTGAGCTCCAAATTCAGTTCCGGTACTTGTAACACCAGTGTTGTGAGGCTCGTTGGGTCTGGGACTTCCTCTCAGTGTAGATGAAGCTGCGTACAGTCCTCCCTGTATCCAGACCACTGCCACTTGTGCACTGGCATCCTGCCTCTGTCCCTTAGGGTCTAGTATGAGGACACCCGTGGGGTTTTATTTCATGCTCACTCTCCTGTCGAGAATAGGAATAGGAGTTGCAGGATTAGTTTAGGAGCCATCAGAAGCAGACTCTGAGACAAGGATTTGAGGGCAAATAGTTTTTAGGGGATGTGAAGGAAACGGGTTAGGGCTGTGGGAAGAGGGAAGGGTGCCTCACGTAGCCAGTTACCAACGTGGGCGACTGGGGCTCACCAAACCCAACCCACACACCTCACGGCTCACACTCTGTTTCACTGTTTGAAACATAAAAACTTCAAGTGTTCACATAGAAAGACAGAATCGAATTAATTCAAACACTGTTTCTTCATCTTCACAATCACTGTGCTGCCATTGTTTATTTATAATCTATTGTTTACATTAAAAAATATAGATAGTACCACAGGGGTTGAATGCATGAATTGCAGCCTTTGTGAGCTCAGAGGATTTCAAAATGTTAGGAACTTACTAATGAAACAAAAGCTTATAGCCAAATCCATGTGTGTCGGGGGCTGACTGTATCATGGAGAGTTCTAGAAATTAATTTCCATGTATCATATGATTTGTAGTGTGGGATAAGTAATAAAATGTGCTAATTGAACCTATATGAAATCTTAACAGCAACCACATCAATTAGTTAGAATATAGACCAACAAAATACTTTTAGTGAGCAGTCGTTCGTCACTGACATTTAGAGTTGCCAGCTAGTGGAAAGCAGATTACCTTTTGAAATCCATTTGATTTGTTTTCTAGTTCTCTGTAGTGTATGCCCTTCTGACCTGCACTCAGAGCAGACCATGTTGGTGCCCCACTGCCCCCCACACTTATCCCCATCCCTCCAATAGAACTTTAAAGAACTTCTCTGCTTTCTTCTAAACCAGATATTAGGAAACCACTGTTAAGGTTGGACTGTGTTTTCCAGGGAACCAGGTTTAAAGGCCAATTGTGATCAGAAGCAACCAGGATTCAGGGTGGGGAGATGCGTTCTTTCCATCCAAATTGTAATTTGAAGTATTTGTTTTTTCTCCTTTAGAAACACATTATATATATAAAATAAAGCCAGTAGCACTGAGTTAAATTATGCATTCATGGTCTGCTCGTGGGAAGCTAATGACCTTTCAAAACATGTTTTTCTTTTAATCTTGGAAAATGCTTTCTTAATCATAAATAGATTTTGGGAATACAGCTTCCCTTAAACACTGTTTGTGGTATGGTTCAGTAGAAAGGACTAGAAAAGATCAGACCTAGTTTTTACCTCAGATCTGCAGAAAACTTTTTTATGTGAATCTGGGTAAGTAAATTGTCCTCTTTGGGCATCTCTCTATCTCCCTCTCTTCTCTCTCTCTCTCTCTCTCTCTCTCTCTTTCTCTCTCTCTCTCTCTCTCTCTGAGTTAAGAGGCCATACGGCACTTTTTAAGGATCAAATATTGTGGCATGATTATTAGTAAAACCACAGCTGCTGCTACCATTATTCAGAGATCAATTGTATCTAATTTTCTTTCTTTCTTTCTTTCTTTCTTTCTTTCTTTCTTTCTTTCTTTCTTTCTTTC